ATTAAATAGTAACATTGCAGTGGGTTCTCTTCATTATTTCTGGTGAGGAGTGTCCATTTCATCTCGTCCATGGGGTCTCCCTCTCATCTGAGGCTCTGCTCATTCTCCTTCATTCGTTTCTGTCCATGTTCTGATTACATAACCTCTATCAATCGGTTTTCCAGCTTACGAATTCTTCTTGTGCAGGCTCAGACCTTGGAGCCTTTTGAGTGCATTTTTTATTTCATCCGTATTATTCAGCTCCTGAGTTTCTGCGTGCGTCTTCGTCACAGTTTTTGTCTCTTCTCTGACAGTCCGTATTTGACGCGACACTCTTCTCGTACCTTCCTCTGCTTCTTTAATTATGACTTCTTTCAGTTCTTTCAGTTCTTTCAACGCATCTATAATCACCACTCTGAAGTCTTTGTGAATCCACCATCTGGCTGCTTTCAGGAGCAGCTCCTGTTGCTTACGTTCTTGTTTCCTGGCGTATGGGTCATGCTTCACTGTTTCTGTCTATGTCTATAATTATTGGAAACGGAGCATTCTGATGATACATTGCAGCAATTCTGGGTATTGGCCTCTCACCTCGGGCTTGTTACGGTTTTCCGCTTGTTTCCGTGCTCAGTGACCCTTTGGATGGCTTTGGCGGAGCCCGTTTCTGCCCCCACCACCATGTGAATAGTCCAATGAGGCTTCTCAGGGGGGCAGCCTAGGGCGTGCCCACAGTCACCCCAGAAGGTGATGGAGCCTTGTGCCTCACTCCTTGACCACACCCAGCTGTTAGCCTCTCCCAGTGCTACTGATTTCAACAACATCCTGGGACATAAAATGCTCAAAAGCAAAATCCAATCGAATTCGGGTTTCTTTGAACCGACGCTTCCCACGGCCCGTGTTTGAGCTTTGCTCTGGCCCCACGAGGGCTCCTTCTAGTGTGTTCTTCCCTAGTTCTCTCCGCACACCAGCCGGTTGGCCCGAGTGTACGGCACACATACCCATGTCCCCCTCGCCTCTTACTACAACTGCTACTGACTCTATGGATCCTTCTACCTCGAGCAGAAGTTGTCTCCCGTTACTCGGAATGGAAATCATGGCATCAGGATTTCGGCAGCGTGGCTAAGGGCCGCATTTATATTCCTACTTTCTCTTCCAAAATGAAAAGGAAAACAAGAAGGAAATGCCTATTCATCAAGACCGTGAGATGTAGAAAATCGCCCATAATACTGTCAGCTTTCAGAAGGGTATGCTTCACCCACCTCGATTCTAGGGTATCTGGGAGATGAAGGAGGAGCTTCAGAGAGGACCGAGACGTGCAGGAGACCAGATGAGCGAGCACATCTTACTTTTATGATCTCAGTGCCCCGGACACACAACGGGCCGTGTTGCCTGCTTGCCGTGCTGGAGATGAGGCCACCTGTTTATCCCTCCTGCAGACGTGGCTCTTTCTCCATGCCTTCCAGCGATGCCCCTCAGTTATTCCAAGAAGAAAGGAAGTTCTAAAACCATGTAGAACATTTTGCTATCCAGTGAAGAAAGGAATATGGTTGTGTCTGCATCAGACTCCAGTAAGGGATATAGTGCGTTCATTACTTCCTCAGTAGGACCTGTGCTCCCAGGCAGAAGATTCCTGGCCTAGAGGAGCTCTGTCATGACAGCCAAGGCACTAGAAGGGAGCTCACATACCTGGGGGCATACGGGGATGGCGCCCCGATTCCTCAGCAGCTCAGTGAGGCCCTCCCCACAAAGCCCCCACACCCTGAGTAGGTCTTGCACTCTGAGCAGCGAATACTCGCATTGAACGCATGGAGGAAGCGTGAGCTGGTGTGGGTCACAGAGGAAGGCGCCCATTGCATCATGGAGACCCTAGTGGACTGAGTTTGGCTTTGAATGGGGGACATCAGCCTTGAGGCTGGCACAGGAGTACCTGATGTGAGAGTGGGGCAGGTGCGTGCTCCGTTAGACCCTGGGGTTTGCATCCACCCACTGGTGTTGGGGCTGTGCCAACCCCTCCCCGTGCCCTGTGTGGCCTTCAGCATGGCACCTGACCTCCATGCTTTTCCATTTCACTTGCGTAACAGAGAGGCATAAGTCCTAACACTGAGGTTCTTGGGGATTAAACAGGGCACCGGCTCTTAGTGCTTCACAACAGAACCCATATGCCTCATGCCTCTTCCCCACTGTGGGCACAATCGCCTCGAGGGCTCTGACAAGAGCATGAGGGAGCTTCTGGACAGGGGCTCACACAGCCATCCGCCTCCCGTCTGTCACCCAGCCACCCTCCTCACCCGACCACCATACTCTGATAGAGATCAGGCTCCTAAAACCTGCCCGTGAGTGTTTGATACCCTGGCTCCCAACTGGTTCTTCTGTGTTAATATTTATTGCATATGTTACGTCCAGTAGCAGAGTGTATTGGGACCAGAGTGTATTCAGTACCAGGGCTGAGCATCTTACAGGCACCTTCACCGGCAGACGACACTGTTTATTTATTTTCTGTGGTCAACCAACCTGCACCTGATGTCACATGATGGGCTGTTGAGGCGTGTTAGACCAACGACTGGACATATAAATGCAGGACCGTTGCTGCTCTGAAAGCCTTTAGACTAGAAAGCGCTCAAATCAAATAAATCCCTGAGGAGCTTGGATCATTGGCATAACTGTGTAGGTTACAGGCAGAAATGAGAAAGCCAAGCAAGCATAAATTAGGTTTTTGCATCATAAATGAATTCCATAACCTACAAGGATTCTCTTAGCTCCTGAAGACGACCCGCTTTTATACTTTTCTGTCCAAAAGTCTTGTTGACGACTCCAGAGAGCGACTCCAGAGAGACCCTGAGAAACTTGCCAGCCTATTTCAGGAACTGTTTTGTGTGTGTGTGTGTGTGTGTGTGTGTGTGTGTGTGAAATGTTTTTTTGTTTTGTTTTGTTTTTGTTTTTTTTCCTTAAAGAGCATTGTAATTCAGATCGTCTAGCATAAAGCTGGAAGTGACTTAGTCCAGAGGAAACTTCATTTTGAGAGAATTTTAGCTATCAGTATGTGTATGTTTATAGTGAGAATTTAGCATGAGTTTTTCAAAATGCACAAGCAACATGTGCCCACGGACTGGGGTTTCTGCTGATGGTGTGCGTGGATCCCCACGTACGTGGAAGAGTGAGGTCATCTGTGTGCGCTGTCCCCTCCCACCTTTGTGCTTTATGTCCTGCGTGCTTCCCATCTGTGTTCTGATGGGTTCATCTGTGTTTCCCGAATACACGTGAGCTCCTTCACACCAAAGCAGGTGCTGTTCCGTTTGGGTCCTGTCCTGTGCAGAAATTAATTTCACTGGGTACGTATTTCCTTACTCACTCAGTGCCAGACACGGTCCTGGCTGGTTTCCAAGGAAATCATTCAGTCCCCTGACACCCTTAACAGGCTGCTGGTGGTGTTACTCGTTCCCTGACATGAAGACCTGATGCCCGGGTCCCATGTCTGGGACACGGAGGGAAGGGATGTGTGCTAACCCAGCCGGCCACCGGGGCTCAGTGTCAGCAGCGCACATGCTGTCAGACTCATAAGAAGGACCAGATCAGAAACACGCCCGTCCTCCGCTGTGCCCCCAGGATGTGACTTCCCATGCAGACACGATTCTCCACATGATGCACAGAAACACACCGCCATGTGGGAGGCTGTGATGAAGGTGGGGTGCCTGAGCCGGGTGAGCTGGAGACCCAGTGGGTGGGCCCTGCTCCCCAGCACAGGAGGAGTGGGCAGGACTCACACTCCTTCAGAAAGTCTCAGGGCAGCCCTCCAGGCCAGGGGTGCTCCCTCGCCTGTTTTCATCTCTGTTCATCGGAGTCCTCAACAGCCGCTCAGCCACGAGCGGATGAGCTCGAGACCACCAGCCCTGAACGATGGGGGACACGGGGTCCACGCTCACATCTCGGGGGAAATTTGAAGTTAGGGCAAGAGCAGGAAATCGGAACCCAGACTAGGATCCCGGGTGCTCCGTGTCCCTGAGCAAAGTCACATTATCTTGGGGTTCTTTCTGCAACAGATAGATTTCATCTGAAAAATGATTTGACTGTAAGCATGTTAGGGTCAACCTCACTTACAACAAATTTACTTAAATTAAGTGTTACATTTAAGCAAATGAAGGTGCTTGTAAAGGTTTGGGCATGCCATCAGGTCTGTTCATTCATTCATTCATCTGTTCATTCATTCATTCAATTCATCGTTATTAGTTCTGGGTACTTGGGATAGTTACATTCGTGAACAAAATCAACAAAAACTGCTATCTTCATGATAGAGTCACGTTTTTGGTTTTATTCCATGGATGTTTATTGAGATGCTGTTATGTGCCCAGCACCATGCTTGGCACCTGGGATAGGTAGTAAAATCATAAACGTATTTTGGGAAGCCCCATCAACTCTTGGAGGCAACAATCAGAGATCGCTCTGTGGTGTGGACGTCCCCACCCGTGTGGCTGCCCGGACACGGAGGAGCGACCGTCCACAGCTCCGCAGTGTGGAGAACCGAATCTCCCACGCAACAATGTCCTGTGGTCACTGCAGCTGCTGGGTCAGGGGGCCCCGGGGAGGGTTGTTTTACAGGACGAAGATGCAAACACCCAGCTGATGACTTGGGCGCTCCCGGTTGCCTCTCCTGTCCCACACTTCATCACCGAAGACCCGGGCACAGCGCTGTTTCTCAGGATTGGTCTTCCGCCCGGCTCTCACGTCTCAAGCTCAGCACTTGCTTTCAGTATGCGTTCAGCTTCCCTTTTCTACCGAATAGGCATTGATCCCAGGATTTGCTGGTTTTGTTTTTAAAGCATAATCCGTGTCTGTGTCAGTGGATGACAGGAAAGGGCATAACTGAGTTATAATTAACTTCTGAGTACTGTGTTTTTGAAAATCCAAAATCTCCCATTGATTTGGCATAGTGACTTTCTTTTACTGGAGCCCTACAGAAATGGACTTGGAGGTTGCCCATCTTACATCCAAATAGTTGTAACTGTATTATAATTTCATTTAACTTTCAGGTTTGGTGATGGCTATACAGTCAAGATCTGGCTCTGTAAGGAAACCAGTCTACACAGCGCGGTTTCTGACTGCTTAAAGCTCCACTTTCCAGAGATCCAGTTTAAGGTAGTGTTAATATTCTCCATGGCTTCTTTGTTGGCAGCATAAGAAATCTGAGAAGGGGCGCCTAGGTGACTCAGTCAGATAATCGTCCAGCTTGGGCTCAGGTCATAATCTCATGGTCTGTGAGTTCGAGCCCCATGTCGGGCTCTGTGCTGACAGCTCAGAGCCTGGAGCCTGCTTTGGATTCTGTCTCTCTCTCTCTCTCTGTACCTCCCTGCTTGCGCTCTGTCTTTCTCTCTCTCAAAAATAAACATTTTTTAAAAAATTTTAAAAAGGAATCTTAGAAGCACATTTGCCTTCTTCCCTGTCTTACTTCTGTTCTGTGATGAGATCTCGCCTGCTGTCTTAGCTTCACCGCAAAGCCGAGGCCGCCCCTCCCCACTGAAAATGGCAGAGGGCAAGTGCATATTGCTTGGCCCCTGTGAAGGGTGATGCGCCCATCCGGCCGCTTTGCTGGGTCTCCCCAAATGGCCTGTGGGTACGTACCCCGTTACCCGTGGACCCCGGCCATGTTCCGTTCAGGAAGGAAGGATTGTGGCAGGGAATTTCCTCCATGCGTTTGCTGCGGGCTTTATAGGCTTGGTGTTTTCCGCATTATTTTCATGAGGAGTGGCCTGTGCTCGGGATCATAATCCTTCACGAACGGGATGGGAAGCATGGTCCCGGGACCGGCAGTGTGTTTGTCACCGGCGAGCTGGTGCGGTCTGCAGGGTGTTAAGGCCCAGCCCACTGAATCCAGGTCGGCATCTAAGGAGGTGGCGAGGTGATTCCTACGCACGTCAGCATGTTAGAAGCACCGTGCATAGTATCTTGGATAACTAGGGGATCCTACTTTATCATACATTCTAATGGGCTCTGGTCTGTAAGATAGCTGTCACTCATCTACTTCAACAAGAGCCACCGAGCAAAGCCAGTGATAAACATGCTGTACAAGGTCATTCGTGCCACAGTACGGCCCCAGACAGCCTGAGGACACACTGCGGTTATTCCACTCTGCACATACGTCAGCAGGGGTCGGAAGGTTTACTCTCTCACCAAGAGTTGCTCCGCTAGCTAATGGCGAGGACGACAGGGAGCTCTGCTCCTATCCCAGCCAAGTTCAGGTCCTCTGGGCCTCTCCTCATTCGACAGTAACGTCCTGCTTCTCAGCTAGCGCTCCGCACCTCCTTACCCCTGGAGAGCTCTTACCCCCGTGTGGCAGGTCGGGGGCGGCGGGCATAAGGGGCAAATCGGCGGCTCACCCTGAGGAGGCCCCTCTACCGGCTCTGCCTCAGAACAAGGCGTCATCAGTACACATGCACCTGAGACGCTCAGAACGGACCTGCGCACCAACTGGTAGCTGGGTGTGTGGTTTGAAAAGAAAGATCATTTACTTAGCGGTTAAATATGCCGCGATCAACTTTGTGTGATGGCGGCCAATCGTGTGACACAGTTTACCGGTTGCCTTTGGCTTTTAGGGGCAGCGCCTTAACCTGCTGGAATACCATGTCCCGAAGCAGTGGGAGTGCTTGGCCGATCTGTTCAAGGTTCTGGAAGGCAACAAGGCCTTGCTGAATATCCAACATTACTCCATCAACCAGACCACTTTGGAGCAGGTATTGTGTCTCAAACACATCTGAGCGCCGCCCCCCCCCCCCAGCTGATTTTAATTGTTTATTTTTTTTTAATGTTTATTTGGTTTTGAGAGAGGGAGACACAGAATCCGAAGCAGGCTCCAGGCTCCAAACTGTCAGCACAGAGCCCGATGTGGGGCTTGAACCCACAAACCTCAAGATCATGACCTGAGCTGAAGTCAGACCCTTAACTGACTGAGCCACCCAGGTGCCCCCCGCCGCAGCTGATTTTAAAACTAGCCAGATTACTTCTCCTTGAGGTCATTCTTTCCTTAAACTAATCACTGGGTTTACAACACAGGATGGTGAGTGGTAGTTAAGAGGTTTGTTTCTTGTCAGCCCTCCACTTAAGGTACATATTTGGGGGCGCCTGGCGGGGCTCAGTCGGTTCAGCATCCAACTTCAGCTCAAGTCATGATCTCACGGTTCATGAGTCCGAGTCCCACATCTGGGGCTCACTGCCTCAGCATAGAGCTGCTTCAAATCCTCTGTCCCCCTCTTTCTGTCCCTTCCCCACTTGTGCTCTCTCTGTCTCTCACAAATAAATAAATCTTTAAAAAAAGATGGGGGCGCCTGGGTGGCTCAGTCAGTTAAGCATCCAACTCTTGGTCTCAGCTCAGGTCAGGATCTCACGTCTTCCTGGGTTTGAGCCCCACATCAGGCTCTGCACTGACGGTCCTGAGCCTGCTTGAGATTCTCTCTCTCCCTCTCTCTCTGCCCCTCCCCGACTTGTGTTGTCTCTGTCTCTCTTCTCAAAATAAATAAATAAGGGGTGCCTGGGTGGCTCAGTCAGTTAAGCATCCGACTTCGGCTCAGGTCATGATCTCACGGTTTGTGGGTTCAAGCCCTGCATCGGGCTTTTTGCTCACAGCTCGGAGCCTGGAGCCTGCTTCAGATTCTGTGTCTCCCTCTCTCTCTGACCCTCCCCTGCTCATGCTCGCTCTCTCTCTCTCTCCCTCTCTCTCTCAGAAAGAAATAAAAACATTTAAAAAATTTATAAAATAAATAAATAAACTTAAAAAACAAGGTGAGTATTTAGTAGCATTTCTGTAGACAAGTACGGTGGGTACTCACCGGGGAAATCATGCATGTTAACCTTCCTTTCTTCGTTTGCTTGCCTTCCCAAATGTCTAAGGGGACGGCGGGCACTCTAAGTGGGCCATAGCAGACTTTGGGAAGCCAAGTGCTTGCTTCCCTAGGTGTCAGGATGTAGAATTAAATCTCAACTTCATTCTCAAGCCATTCTCGTGGCCTCCAAAATCTCCAGGTGATCTAATAATTGTCCTCAAAGGACTCACCTGGATACAGTGGTTCCTGGGAGGGTGGTGTGAATGGACAGTTTGTGGTTTGGGGGGAAAGTTGGGCAATGCTTTGAGAAGACGTCCCTTTGAAGAGGTCTTGTGTTCTCACACGTTAACAATGGTTTTCATCCTTTCGTTCAGGTATTTATTAATTTTGCAACCGAGCAACAGGAATCCATGTCACGATCCACGCCGGCTCCGCCCACCGGCTCTTACCAGCCTGATCACCTGCCTGTCTAAGCTCCAGAGGAGAAGTTTCGAAGAGGAATAATGGCTTGTCCTTTGTTAACAATTCAGCCTGGAGGACCACAGCGCCTGGGCTCCCCAGCGGAGCTGGGCGGCCGGCTCCTGGTGGTCAAATCCATCCTCTCCTTCATTTCCTCTTTGCAACTGTCTGTTAATGAATAACCAGCACCCTGAAAGATTGGTTTTAGACTTTTAGGCAGTTCTCCTGCGTGGTTGGTCAAGCCAGGGAGGGGCCGGCTTCTTCTTGACGGGGCCATGAGGGAACCTAGGGTCCAAACGGAGACATCTTAGAGCGGGGAAGGCTCTGCCAGGGACTGTCCGTTCCATACATTTCACCGTACCTTTAAGGAAACTGAAGCAGCCAAGGCTAGGAACTTTCCTAACTGATTTGTTTAGGAAATAACAGCTCAGGCTGTTTTCCATTGTTGCCCTCTTTGACTACATATGCTTGCACGTGTCTAAATAAAAAGTCGAGGATTTAAATGCAATTTTTTTTTTTATAATACTAGATGTCATATGGTAGGACATGTAAAAATTGCCATTTTTTCTACAAAATTATTTTTTAACATTTATTCGTTTCTGAGAGACAGGAGAGAGCAGAAGCAGAGGAGGGTCAGAGAGAGAGGGAGACCCAGAATCTGAAACAGGCTCCATTCTCTGAGCTGTCAGCACCGTGCCTGATGCGGGGCTCGAACCCACGGACCACAAGGTCGTGACCTGAGCTGAAGTTGGACACTCAAGTGACTGAGCCACCCAGGTGCCCCCAAAACTGCCATTTTTTTCATACAAAAGATGCTTTAAAAAAATCAGAATTCAAGAGCTTTTTAGTGACTCTTTAGCAAAATTGAATCAATTGAACTGGATACTCCATGTCCTTTGTAACAGTTTTACCAGAATTGCACAGATTTTAAATATAGGGAGGTATAGAAAGAAATATAATGTGGATGTATTCTGTTCTTCTTGGTTTCTCAATTTTCTCAGTAGCCCTTGACATTCTGAGGCACATTTCAGTTTCAAAGTCAGTGATGTACACGACCTAGTTACCTTCTAACTTTAAAATTAGTACGATACGCAGTAAATAAATATTACCTTTCCAACACTTGAAAATTTTCTAATGATTCTGCCACACTCAGAGTTACTGGCCTGGTCTCTTCAGATACAGAGCACCACGATGTGGCCGCAAAGGGCCACGGAAGGCTGACATTCTGCCTCTGATAACGACACGTGTGAACTGAGCGTGTCCACCCCTGAAAATGGCTTCTCACCAGGCGTTTCTGAGTTTTGAGATGTTTCTTAGCCTTTTCTGAATAACATTTTTCCTCAAATCTCCATGGACGGCTGCATTCATTTCATTTCAAAGTTCGACCTTATCCAGTTAAAGTTTTGGTCACTAGTAGCTTGGGGCGTTCCTGTCCCTTTTCTTTCCAGACTTAGAATTTCACTAAAGTCTGGCTTTTCCTGATACCATCGATAGTAGATACTAGTATCTAGATAGTAGATACTAGAGCTCTTCCTAACCTGTCAGGATTCAGGCAGTCACGGAGAGTTCTGATTGAATTATTTTGATTTCACATGAATCACGTGAATTTTACTTTCCTTAAGAAGCTGCAGTGTAGGGTTTTAGGATAAGTCATCCTGCCCCTCAGGTCTAATGGTCTCATTGTCAAAGTGGAAGATGTAATCCTTTGTTACGATTGTTGTTGAATTGATCAATAAACTCCGGGACACGGGAAAATGGTTCTACTATAGTGAATAAATGAGGTGTGCTTTCGTGTAACCTGGCTCTTAGAACCAAGTTGTGTATTTCTTTGTATGTGAGGGATCCAGTTTAAAAAGCTACAGAGGAGGGGCAACTGGGTGGCTCAGTCGGTTAAGTGTCCGACTTCGGCTCAGGTCATGATCTCACAGTTCATGGGTTCAAGCCCCAAGTCGGGCTCTGTGCTGCCAGCTCAGAGCCTGGAACCTGCTTCAGAGTCTGTGTCTCCCTCTCTCTCTGCCCCTCCCCTGCACACGCTGTCTCTCTCTCTCTCAGAAATAAATAAAAACGCTAAATAAAAAATAAAAAGCTAAGGAGGAAATTCATCTACTCTAGATCTTCTAAAGCTTGAAAAGGTTAAAATTTGATCGAGCTTCAGTCTGCAAAATTCCGCTCTCAGGGATCCTTTGAGCCACTGTTTTCTGGAAGGTGGTGCTTCCCGGTGGGTCTTTCAACAGTCAACGGGAAGAAAACAGAAACTCAGCATTTGAGAACAGTATACCCCAGAAGGCTGGACACGAAAGGTCATATCTTATGTTAGCGCTGAAAATGTCATTGCATTTATAAGCCATGCAGATATTTTATGCCTTTGCAGTTAAACATTTGTCTTAAGACCTCTGGGCTTATGGTCACACAACTGAGACTTTTAAACAGACGACCTTCTTTGGAAAGCATTCTGAGGAGAGTACTTCATAAGGCCGAGACCGCAGTGATTACTCTGGTTCCAGCAACCTAGCTTTTATCATGTGGTTTATCTTTACCCGGATATTTGAACAGAGGACGGGTAAAAGCCCTCATCCAAAATCAGGATTGGAAAGAGCAAACAAGATATATTTTTAGAAGAGTAAACAGTGGAGGACTTGCGGTAATAGTTGGCTTGGTTTATAGGACGTCGAAAGGAAAACAGTATAACATGATCACTCTAAAACCTTTCACAAAATATACTGCCACCTCCCAACCCACTGCACCCACCTTCCCTGCTATTTGGGATTCATGAGTATGACATGAAGACTTAGCTTAATCACAAACTACCCTCCCCCCCAAATGGGGGATAGAGACACTTGAAATTTTCAGGCCGGCTTGGGCATGTTTTCATCTTTGACTTTGCTCTGGTGTGTTTGAGCCCAGTGATGGTTTTGCTGTGGGATGCTGATGGCGCGTTACAAGTCCATTTCACAAACCTGAGTAATTCAGAGCCCTTTACACAGACACGCACACACATGCACACACACATTCATTCTTTCGATCCATTGAGCCCTTCTCTGTCCAAAAATAGATGGTGGGTACGGTGAACGTGAGGTTGGTAGACCAAAAAGCGAAAGACCCACACAGTCCGTGACCTTGAGAAGCACTCGATTCCACGGGGAAGGCAAGGCGAGATCTGCGGGCAGCAAGCACTCCTCTGGGGCCACCGAGAGTGGTTCCTTCTAACCCCCTGTGCAAGAATCAGCTTCATGGAATAGTTACCACCGGGCCATCACAGATGGAGAAGTGAGATGATGTCTGTGGGGGTGAGGGAGTATTGGAACATAACAACAATATTCAGTGGGCAACAGCTATTTGCCTGTTATTCTGGTAGATGCTGATACAGTGGCTCCACAGATTTCTAAAACCCTGTGCTGTGGTCTTTAGAATTTCCCTTATATCCCAAAATGGCTGCTGGAGTGCCAGCTATCACAACATCCAAAGCAGAAAAACAAATTTGTCTAACCCAGGTACTCAGGCTTATATGACATCATGGTACAGTTTTAGCTCAGTCCCTAAAATGAAGTGAGAGTTCTGATTCTATATAAGAAGGAAATGGGTACTGGATGGTTTGCCAGCAATCTCTCTTTTAGAAACACATAACAAGTTTTGTGCCATTTGCATGAAAATAGATCGAAGTCAGTTTTGGACATATTAGATAAACTAAGCAATGTCAATTATGTGACTGTGTTTGGGCAGTCTAGGTTCTTAAGATCATTACTATCTTCAGAATTAAAGTAGCATGTTAAGCTTCTAAGTCAGATGACAATAAAGATTTTGTCAAGTGGGGTACAGTAGATAAAGGGAAGAAAGAAGTGTATGGATATTTTCTGTTTGGACTTAATAAATAGTCTTGTCACTTACAGTGAGAATTCCTGTAAGAGTTTTAATAGATCTTTTTTTGTTTCCTGCTGGAAAGGGTTTCAAATTGCTGAAACAAGTCCGAAGCACTTGTTTCCTTCTTTGCTTTTGCTTGTGGTTGTGAAGAGACATTTCAGTACCTTATCAGTGAATCCATCACATTTTTCTTTACATTTGAGTGTTTTAAAGAAAAATGGGATCCACTGAGTTGAATGTACATGTAGGGAATAGCAGCCCCTCCAGTTGTTATCTTGTGCTCTGGCCAACATCGAAGAGCCACGACCTAGAACGATGAGCGACTCTTAGTGCGGTTTGCGGGGCCACCTCCTTCAGTCAGAAGCCACAGGCTCGTCCCATTGTCCACAGGCGCTGGAAAGACCCTTCAGGAGGGCAGGATGCCTTTACGGGGAGTAGCCATCCAAACCAATGTATAGAAGAATAACGCCTGGGTACCTTTCTCCGAAGGGCAAAGGCAGAGGAGAAAAGTAGGGTTTTCAGACACACACCTGCAAAATAATGAACCTGGACCACTTTCTTTCCCCACGTGCAAAAATAAACTCAAAGTGGATCCAAGACCTAAATAGGAGACCTGCAACCATAAAAATCCTAGAGAACACAGGCGGTAATTTCTCTTACATCAGCCATAGATAGCAACTTCTTTCTAGATATGTGTCCTGAGGCAAGGGAAACAAAAGCCCGAATGTCCATGGACTGACGAATGGGTAAAGGGGATGTGGTATATGTACACATGGCAATAGTACTCGGCCATCAAAAAGCATGAACTCTGGCCATTTGTAACGACATGGATGGAACGAGAGGGTATTATGCTAAGTGAAATAAGTCAGTCGGAGAGAGACAAATACCACATGATTTCACTCCCGTGTGGAATTTCAGAAACAAGACAGATGAACAAGGGGAAGGAGAAAAAGTGAGAAAGAGCGAAACAAACCGTAAGAGACTCTTAATTACATAGAATAAACTGAGAGTTGATGGCAGGAGGTGGGTGGGGGAAGGGCTCCATGGGGGATGGATTTTAAGGAAGGCACTTGTAACGAGCACAGGGTGTTATGTGTAAGTGATGAATCACTGAATTCTACTCCTGAGGCCAGTATTGCACTGTAACTAATTAGAGTTTAAATAAACATTTGAAAACAAAATGAAGTAAACAAATAGATAAATAAATAACTGGCCCTTCCTCAAATAAAAGGTTTCTGTACAGCAAAGGGAGCAGTCAACAAAACTAAAAGGCAAGCTAGACTGGGAGAAGATATTTTTAAATGATATATCAGATAGTGGGTTAGTATAATCTATAGATAATATATATAAATATATATTTATGTTTACACGTAACTGACCAAGCCACCCAGGTACCCTGTATAGAAGGTACCCTTCTATAAGGACATTCAGCCTCATGACCTTTCCTTGGCCGGTCACATCTGCTCTGTCGCTGTCTCCTGTCTGCTCACACAGAGCACATTGTGCTCAGTCTGTCCTTCCTGTTCTTTATGCGGCCGCGGGGACTGCAGCTGCAGCTGAATCACCCACTGAGGACTGGGGCAAACGACTGGCTCAGTTGGTTGAGTGTCTGGCTCTTGGTTTTGGCTCAGGCCATGATCTCAAGGTTTGAGAGATTGAGTCCCGTGTTGGGGTCTGTGCTGACAGCTTGGGGCCTGCTTGGGAT